TGTTTCGTGTTGCCACCCAAGAGCTTCTAACTGACGCTCGAAACCCTTAACCGTAGGTTCACTGACTACATTTTCTGGAAGCGAGTTCCAGCGCTCGATAACTCTACGCGATAACCTAGTTTCCGCCCTGATCCGGTCAGAACGCGGCTTGTGTAGCTTCATGGGATGACCGCGAAGACAAGGCAACTTAGCCGGGCTAAATGGCCAGCTCAAGGCCGGTCCAACCTTCCCTGTTAAAATGCGGTAAGTAAGGACTAGGTCTCTTCGAAGCCGTCGGTAGTGCATTGAATACATACCCAAGCTAAGTAGATGTTCGGTGTACGATTGCCCCCTTTACCCCTCGACCAATTTGGTACCTACTCTCAAAACCCTTTCAAGCTCCATTTCGTCCCGAACAAGGCAGGGCGGGCAAGCCTGGACGCAGTATTCCAGATGAGGTCGGACGAAAGCTGAGAACAACTACATAAATATGTCGGCAGTTAAGACCCCGAAAGAACGGCGTATTAACCACAACATTCTGAAACCCCTACTAGCGGCCTTCTTCCAGTTGTTACCAGAATGCAAAGACGAGGAATGAATGACACCTAGGTCTACCTGGTTGGAGACAAGGGGGAGTTCGACCCCACCGAGTACGTAGTTCGAAGGCGGGAAAGTTGCTCCTATACGAAGGACGGAACACTTAGTCTGATTTATAGGCAGTAGCCACAAAGTAGACCAGTCCCAGAGTCTGTCCAGTGCATGCTGTGTGATCTCAGAACCCCCAGGAACATTTACAACATTCCATAGCTTAAGGTCATCAGCAAACAATAGGGATGATACCCCAAGCTTTCCAGGGAGATCGTTTACGTAGATGGAGAACAGCATCGGTCCAAGGACCGAGCCCTGTGGGATACCGCTAAAGACCGCTTGCTTAAAGGATAAGCTGCGACCCACAGGTACACACTGCCCTCTTCCCTGCAAGAACGACATTGTTCTTGCTTAGCACGTGTTGAAATTCGATCAGAAACTGGCTTGATTTGTAGTTTAGGTAATAACATTTCTTACCGAACATTGTCTAATTCACTGATCACTCGTCAATGATAAATCGCCGATGGTTAATCTATAATGATTAGGTGCTTAGTTAATTGCTTTGACACTGGTACTTTGGTGACTAACATTGTTTGGCGACAGGTTGATAACTCAATCCCCATACTTCTATTTATATGTCTTAAAATTCCATTTTCCCCCCTCGAGAGTAATATCCCGCCGACTGAGAACCACTGTGTCAGAGCGAACCGTCCCGATAGATTCATGCTGTTCAAAGCTGCACAGTGGTTACCTCAGAGACATAGAAGCTATCTATGACCTGAATATTCGGCTTCGAACTTTTCAGACGTTGGATTATCAGGTGAGATTGCATTGCTTAACCGGGTATGGCCTAAAGTCAATCCACTACTTGAAATTCCACAGGAAGATTTAAACTGCGTCATTGCTTTCGATAGCAATCAGCACAAAGTCGCTTTAGCCATATGTATCGCGACTTAATGACGTACGCATGTAGAAAATTGATCTGGAGTTTACTTGCCAACTGCCTGTCAGCTAACGTGCTATTCTTCAGCATTTCGTCCTACAAGAGCCACAGATGCTTCCTTCCCTGTGAATTCTTGCAGCACGTATGCCATCTACCATCGGCTCAGTTTATCCGCACTCAGTTAGAAGTCCTTTCACTTAGAAGAAAATATCGTCTGTAATCAGCTCATCACGCAAACCCAACGTAAGTATATGCACGACAAGTTCAGTGACCTCTTACAATCATCATTGGAAGATTCATTTTGTTTTCTTGCTAATTGTTGGTATTGCGAACCAAATGTAGACTACAGAGACAATAATGAAAGCTGTACCAAGCACACTAAATTAGTGCAGTCGGATAAATAAAAGACCACGCACTTTAATAATTGACTAAGATGACAAAACATCGAGCAATATCATCTTAGTTGGGAAGTAGGTGACAAGTAAAATCCAGATCCTCTTAATACATGGATACAACACGGAGTCGCATACAGGCACCTAAAACCGACTGAGACGTGGAAGCCATGAATGAGGGGGCGCACACAGATTGCACAAGCCAGCTTGTCCATAGCGCTTGAATGTATGCGTGAACAACTCACGCTATCTCGAAGTTGTTCCGATGGCTTGTGAAATTGGTCGACCTCGAGCGTAAATTCCTTACCATGCAGTAACTGACCCATTTGAACTGACGGAAACGCTGGAACAAAACCCACTGGACTCGGAGCATTCAACATTCACATTTGTACCTCTTCGTGACACAGTCGACGATTTGAGTCATTTCATCCGTAGCCAAAGCATAAATTTTTGGGTTTCCCTTTCAAGTAATTGACAGACCTGGTTTTAATGGACGTAGAAAATGTAAGGGTTGAGTGTGGGGTACAGACTACAAACAGATCGATGCAGTCGCTACGGGCAGCTCACTGGGACCGAGTTTGGTGCACACGTTTCTCAGTTTGATCGAAAGATAAGTTGCTGCCAGTATAGGTGAAGTGAAGTTGTACAAACCTTATGTGGATGACATTCTGATATTCACCAGTAGCGAATATTTTACCCTGCTATTAATCACTCGGAATTCCATTCACCCTAACGTATCGTTGTCTCATGAGATGGAACAATATGGCAGTGTGCCTTGTTTGGGTATGGAAGGGAGATACACCCCAGCGCACCGTTTACAGCAAGGCGACCTGCATTGAGGAGTGAACGCATATTCCTAGCTTCGCCCAGGTCGCATACAAACACGACACAGTGGAATCGCTCATGCACAGATCCAGAAAAGCCGGAGGATAAAGAAAATTTGTGCACAGTACGTCCGTATGGAAAGGATACCCCAAAATTTTAATCTAATTGCTTAACAGGTACCGTAATAAGAAAAAAGGTGTTAAAGAAAGAGGAAATACTGTTAATTTTCGATGCAAGCGAACCTATGTATTCAATAATTGCACTTAAGACTTGTACAAGTATATGTAGAAAAAAACCATATGTTTGAGACAACATAAAGGTTGGTAAGACAAATTCAGTTCACAGACACTATCCGTTAGGTCAGAAATGCAGCCTGCACTCCATTTCGTGTGCCGGGTGTCGCAGTTCGGTTGCGCCAAGGCAGTTTTAACGTCTGAACGAAACCGTTTCTGAACACACAACTCCGGCTCATACAGTCAAATCGCGATGACCTCCTCGGGTTCAAGCAAACACTTATGAACGCACTTGGATTTATTGTCTAGTACCTGATAGAGCATTTTCAATGACTCACCCAAGTTGATGTCGTGGCCAGTGTTGGCGAGATGCGTGACTATGGATGAGTTGGTTTGTTTTCGAAAAGCGGTCATGAGCCAAACAAGATGTGTCCTTTAACACTTGCAGACAGGCGCCTCCTCGTTCGGCCTAGGTCTTGTGCCGCACAAGAACAGGAGAAACAATAAATACACATTGATTTGGCGTGGACGGGTCTCTTGTCTTTGGGGCTAGTTCTAACCTTTGGGTTACCGGGGAACTTGATTTGCATTTTAGCTGCTAGGAAAGTGTGTCTGAAGGCATGAGAAAAATTACGATTAATGATTTCAGCAGCGATTTCTCCCTTGTATGTCAGTTGGAGAAATATGGGTTTTCTCTGGACTGTGAGGGTTACGGGAGCCTTCTTTCTTTGCCCCATGTTGCCCTTCAGGTAACTTTCAGGGTAGTCATTTTCTCTCAGCGTCGAACGCATGCGCTTCAATTCTTCGGGAAATGTTTCCTTTGAGCGAATTCACTCTGCTCGACTCATTAGACTGAGGATCAGGTTCCTTTTTAAGTTCAATGGTACGAAACTGTGGAAACGCATGTATTTCCATTCTACGAGTGTTTGCTATACTCCTGGCGTTGTAACGCGCCACTCTCGAGTCTCTACATTGCCACGTCGAGGAAGTGAAAAGCATCATTCACCTCTACTTCGGATGTGAACTTCAGTGCTTCGTGCACCTGATGGAATTTATTGGTAAGATCTTCGATGGTTGGAGAGGAGTGGAGCAGTACGAAAAATCGTCGTCGTAACGGCGGTAAAGACAGGTTCATGATGACAGATTTCAAATTGCCATGGTCAGCATACCCCTGAATATGTCAGCGAGAATCGGTGCAAGTGGAGAGCCCATAGCAACTCCGTCGTGCTGTCGATACAATTCACCGTTAAACAGAAACTGGATGTTGCAAGTACACCGAAGCAGCAGTTCCTTTAGCGCCACCGTAGGTATGCCAATAGCCACCTGGGTTTCTTCAACATAATCACAGATGTAATTTGTAGTTTCAAATAACGGCACATTTGTAAAATGTGAAGTCACATCGAGAGAGTACATGGCCAGATCCGTGACAGTTAGATCGCGCACGGTATCCACGAAATCAAAACGTGATCCTCAATCCAATAAGTCGAGCAGCATGAATTTGCCCGAACGATAATTTCCACTTAGCCGTCAGTCTCTTGGGATATTCGGCGCCATTTGAAGAGACGATTACCGTAGGCGATCGGATCAGCATATTTTCGAATTCCACACGAGGTTTCATGATGACTCGTTGGTTCTCAATACATATACGATGATGATTATTATAGGAAGCAGCGACGCAGTGTAAAAACATCCTGTGAGCTCTGAACTAGTGAATTGCCTGTAGTGTACACTCAGTAGATAGGTGCAACCAACATCACTTGTTAATCCAACGTCTGAAGGTTTCGATGTTAAGTGTACATGTTTCTGCTGTTCGATACTAGGTACTTTCTAAGCCCTAGACATAACTGCTATGTACCTATTAATAGCAAAAATCTACGGGAAATGTGTGCTCAAACAACACTAAAAAGCGTGCATTCATTAATTACTCATTACCTATTGGTATGCTTTACATCACGCCTCATTTTCTTTGCATTGCTCTTACAGGGCAGCAAAAGGGAGACTTTATTAAGGCGCAACTCGGAACGGATCAACACTTTGTCAATGTTCATCCAGGAAGCTCGAGCGTTTGCGGATGCGGAATGTATTGCGTCCCCCGCGTTTCTACTACCTAATCTGGCTCATCAAGTCGTTATAGAGTTACTCGATATGTGTGGTGTCCCACATGTTGACAGCACACGTGAAGCTGATTTGCAAATGGCTGAACTCGCTGTGCTGCTCGATTGTCCGATTGTAAGCAACGACTCCGACTTCTACCTGTTTCAGTCACCTGCCCCATCACGTTATCGAGTAATTCCACTGTCTTCACTGAGCTCTACATGTGACTGGTTGCCAACGAAGTGCGCCGACTGCGGGTCTCAATCTGCAACTTGCTTTGCATTGTCATGCTCCGTTTATCGCCCATCCCAGTCTTGTTTGAACAAAGTGACACCGAGTCTACTTCCATTACTGGCTGTGCTGTTGGGCAATGATGTCATTTCGAACGTTCACCTTCCTCTTGGTGTGATAAGCTTAATAAACCTGGCTCCGAGAATGTCATACTGCGCGAGGCGGGTCCATGCTGTGCTGGGTTGGTTGAGCCAATTCTCGAACAATTCCTCAGGTGCACTACGTCAAATTCTGTCCGGATATTCTGGCCCCCAGCTAATTGACATTACAAAGCAAATTGCACAGTGTATCCGTGGATACTTTCTCGATCCGGTCACTGGTGGTTCTGAACTGGCCAATGAAATGAACCTTCCAACTGACGCTTACTTTGCTCGACACTCACTCTATAGAAGACCATCTATTAACCTGGATTCTATCTCAGTGAAGACGGTGGATGAGGCGATTACGTTGCTCAAGCAAACATTGTCCCACTGGGAAGCAGGCGCAGTTGGCACGGGCACCGGTTTATGCTTTCAGTGGCCTCGGCAACTGAGTCATGTATTCCGAACTGGTCGCTTATGCAATTCATTGATTGATGCGTTATACGTGCGTGGTGGAAGTGTACTAAGGAATCTATACGAGGATTTGAACTACGAGACCTCCATCTACTCCGTGAGTGAGCAGATTCGCTTCTTGAATTATCGCTTGTTGGTTGAGCTTGAGAATCGCATCGGTTGTACGAAAAAGCTCCTCGCGTTGACGGATGGAAACCCGATAGAGAGCCGCCGTGAAGGTAAGCGAATGTCCACATTCTCCGTGCAGTTACCAGTCGTGACGGTGCCGCGTTGTGTGTCAACCGTAGAGTGCATAGACCGATTTTTCAGCCAATATTTGTCCCTTGAACTGAGCAGCATGGTTTGTGACTCACCGCAGACATTGGGTATCATCTGTGTGGTTATTTTTTGGTTACGACACACATCTATTAAGGACGTCGCCCAGATTCCAGTGAACGGAAACCCCGTTGTGTTAGCCTTTATAACCTGCGCTTTGTTGACTGGAATTCATTACGAATGCTCACGTGGTCACGAAAAAACCGTTGCAGACAAGGAATTGGAGAAGCTGTGCAAGCGTTACGGCCAAGTTGCTAGCGATGCAAAACGTGAATGTGTGACAGACGGCCACCACTGCTACTCAATTGAGGTTGTACATCAGCTGAGTGAATTGCAATTGGTGTACGTGGAGTTGCAGCACCTGACGACTTTGCTGGAAGTCCTGTGTACATGTACTGGTGGGGAGGAAGACCCCACTGGAGGTGACAGTGCACCCGCGGACGAAATGCGACTGATATTTTGGCCAGGGTGGCTGATGTTTTCAAGTGGACGTCTGCTTCATTGGTTGGTACAGGCTCTGGCCTGGGCTCCGCCTGATGACCGAATCGACCGGTTGAAGTATCGGTGGATACCCACCCTATTGCATGCGATATTCTTTGACGACATCACTTCATCATATACGTCAGAATATTCGAAGCTCGTTGTTGATGAACTCGACGCTGTGCTTTGTGTATTGACTGATGTCGCATTTACACCATCGAACGTGTGAGCTGCTATTGTTCGAGAATATTCTAACTCGAATCTGTATTATTTTCTGTAGTCCTCTCTTTGTATTTGAACATTCCCATAAAATTGATTCCTAGAGGTACACTCACTTGCCATCATTGGAAAAGGATGGTTTGGGAGTACAATTTTATTGATTCGTTTAACTTGCGATGTGAAAACTGTTCCCCACTCATTAACAGACACCTAGTCTTTGGCGTTGTGTGGGAGCTAGTTCTTAAAATGTTCAGAATCTACGGACAAACACTCGTGGCTTTTCAGGCACCGTTGTCTTCAAGCTATATGTTGGCGCTCTCGAGGCAGTACGTTGTCAGCCCGAAATACCCCCCTCCCAGCCTAGAGCAAATGAGTGCAGTCCGAGCGGAGGGCGTGTCCAGTGTTTTATGGGACGATGAGTTAGTGTAATTAGCCTTAACCTGCAATGTGCATTGACAGTATAAGTTCAGGCTAATGGTTTATTGTATACTCTGTGTTCCTTCATGACTAGCACTTCTACTGACTATGGATTTCACCGTTAATCCGTGTCTTAGTACTTATAGCAGCCCACTGGCACCTCAGTGTATAGCTGCTAAATGACGTTTGATTCGTTCATAGCGGTGCCTGATGTCTATCGTCAGTGTGCCGATGAGTGGAGGAAATAGAGTTCCATGGTTTTCAATCCCCGTTAGCAACTAAACGAGCATATTGTTCAAGCAGGCTCAGGCAGTTACCTCTGACCCTGGTGTTATGGCTGAGTTACAGCAAATGACATCATGTGTGAGTGTGGTCACACAATAGTTAGGCACTAATTTCTTGCGTGCTATATACTCGAACCCTACAGGCAGCGTAAGGTTCCGCAGTGACCCGTCGGATAGAGTTCCGACAACAAATGGCGTTCGTCAGCCTTGTCTGGTTTCCCCCTTCTTGTGCAATTTCTTCGTGGACTATAGCACGGAGTGTTAACTTGCCGAATCTCGCGATGTAGGCTTTGAGGCTAGTTGATCGTGATTATGCGGAGGATATCCTCTTGCTTTTTAACAATCCCGCGGTGGAACAAACCACCCAGAATTGTCTGTAGGGTGGCGCGAGGCTCGAGGTGAACAGAAGTTGACTTGGCAGCGGGAAATGTAATCACTGAGGTCCAAACTTAGTGTCGTTGGCCCGTCTCGCCTTCCGAGCTGGAGTCCACGTGACTCGCCTTGTGCTTAGCTAGAGACTTTACAACACATGGCTAGCAAACGACACCAGTGGCGCATCCACTGCCGTCTCCTAATCGGATTGCCTGGTTAAAGTGTGTTTGGTGCTGAGTTATATGCGGGGTAATGGCTGATTATGACGAGGGGCGGTGAAAGCCGCAAGGAAGCTGTCTCACCGATGCCGACTTATCTTTGGACGTTAGACAGCTTTTGGTGACGATATGTTGCTCTCACAAGGTGTAGGCGCCTTGACCCTGAATGTTTGCTTAATGCAATAAGGTTTTCAGATAAGTCTCTATTCTCTCCCACTAATTATTTTTTATTGCTTAGGTCATCAAGGTTCTATGGCAGTGAAGCATTAGTTCAAATGGCTGATGTACTGCTGTTGATGATGATGAACAGGAGATCACCGTGTAGTCCTCGATAGATTCCGCTGAAAAGTACCAGTAACTTAGGCTTTGCCAGTGTGACGAACTTTACCACACTTGACGTAGTTTGTTGCCCTGCGTTGTGGTGTGTACATCACCTCCACGTCTCGCTTCAATCATGTTTGCGAAGCTCGGATAGCGTATCCACCGCGTGGGCACACTTAAAAGTTGCACATCATCTGGAATATTTCTGGATCAATTCTCCTATCCACGCTTCGCAGCCTAGCGACATACTAGTTGCCTCAGTTCGCAACTGCACCACATTGTTCTGAACAGTCTAGATCCCTCTGTACGTATACACTAAGTTCGGGTATCTGAGTACTGGTCTGCAATCGGAGTGCCCTATGTCTACACATGTACGTATGCCCGTGGCGTAGTGAAACATCTCGACAACCTTTCAAAACTTTTATCGCACTAAGAACGTGCTGGAATACTTCGTGGTCGTCCGGTCCGTTGATTGCTCCCCTATCTTGTTATTACCTACGGCGAATAGGAAAGTGGAAGCAAATGACCACTTGACATTCATTAGATTTGAAGAAATCCAGTAAAAATTTTCCCTAACCTTGCTCTCGTCTTCTGTGATTTAGACGGGACTGCTCGGTAATTCACCTCCACAACCTTTTTTAGATTTACGACGTAGAATCTATATTTTCTTCACTGTTAACCCGTTAGTCTCCGGTGCTGTGTGGGATCTAGTCTTAAAAATATTGCCATGGCTCCAGATTGACATTCGCAAATGTGCAAGCAGTTTACTTTTTAAGCGGCGGTCATGTAGTAGTTCAATTATGAGCCCGCGATACAGAAACCTCGCCGAGTGTTGCGTCTTAGTGAAGTCCGTGTTTAGGAGGTCACGTTCGAGACGTCGTCGCACTGTGGGTAAGTGTGCTCAGGGCTAATTCACATTGCACTCGTGACGGACTAGACTCAGTCGATGTGCGTGGGCGTGTATGTGGGACGCACGCGGAGCGATGGTGAATCGCAACGGATGTAGAATTCCATGCCGGCCGCTTCTCGTGGCACTGGCCTTTACTGTCGCTTCCTTCAATTCTCAGCTCATAGCTCACTGACACGTTGGTGCCTTTGCTGGATGACATTGTCTGAATTACTCTTGACGGCGCGTGATGCGTTTTACTATCCAAGTCGTTGTGAGTTGACTGCGTGACAGTACTGTTATAGCGAATTAGTTGTGATCAAAACGAACACTCGTTGTATGCTGAGCGCCCCAATAGCGTGGTTAAATGGGCCACAGCTGGACTGGATTTGACGAAAGAAGTGAGAAACCCTCCAGCAAACCTCGAGTGCACTTGGTCCGAAATGTTCCTTCGGCTTTCCTCATTTGGTATGCTGGACACCTGGCTAGCGTCACGTGATTATTGTGGGTGCAACAATTACGTGCTTACAGGCATCATACCAGTTAAGGAGCAACATTCCACCCAAGCATAGTGATGTCAAATTTTTCGGTATTCGTTTTGTTACCATTCCTTACTGTATGAATCATCTCACGCGACCCCAAAAGCATGGCTCGGTTACCCACTTCGTTTGTTTGAGTGCCGGTCCTCGAGGTAACGATTAAAGAAGTGTCAGTCCGAGCCATATGGGACTCGGGGCGGGTGTCCCAATTCCGCGAATGTTCGACGGGGCTCCGTTAAACTACTTAGCAAATGTGATGAAGATGTGTAGAGAATACGGCTTGAAGGTGACAAGAGCACAGCGGTCGAAAGATAGGATAGGGTCAACGCTTATCCGTCATTTGACGTTCTCCGCGGAGAGGGCCAAGGAAAAAATAGTCTGTAATGATATCCACAAGCGACTCGGAGCCAGAATCGATTTGAGAGGTGACCTGATAATTTTGGGCGACGAAACAATCGAACTGAGGGCGGGATATTCTAACCAAATGGGTCAGTTTTATATTTTACCTGATTGCCCATACGGAATGAGGTGCGAAGGTATGCGGACTTGTTCATCGATTTAAATTGTGCTTACGGTTTCTGCAACTGGGTTGAACACCAGATACCACTAATCCCACGGGCCAGCGTAAGCCAATTTAAGGAAGAATATCACGGTAGTAGAGCAATAGTATTCTACGACCGAGAAGGAATATTTTGCTTTGGTGTGGAATTTGAAGGAGCGGAGAACATTCATCTTAGGGATTAAATTCCATGTCATCAATGATCGTTAAGCTCTATAATAAGCGGTGACAATAAGGGGACGTCTTGCACCATGGGCTTATCTGCTCCAAGTAGTTACTTTAACAACGAACACACAGATAGAACGAAAAACGTACTTCCAAGCATGCTGTCGCGCACAGCTTCGGGTGAGGTCCTGCCAGACAATGTGATGCCTGTGTCTGCCGTCATACTGGTGGTTACGAAATTACTGAAAAAGCAGTGGACGGATGTATTTATAAATTTAGTGTGCACATATTTACAATCTGGAACCAAGCTGGAAACAACAAAAACAGAGTTGTAGGAATTCCTCATTATGGGAGACCGGCTTCATGTCGCAATCCGTAATTTGGTGGTTGCAAAGCCCGAAATGAAACTAATGTTTATTTCACAAAATCAACTTGAACCGGGGATTCAATTAGCTCATGATAATGCTGATGTGGAGTTTGAGGGATTTTTGAACTGATACGGAGAATTGATTAGGCCAACTATGCGAAAGAACGTAGCCACTCACATTCGGAATTGCCGAAACTCTCAAGCCAGCTGCTAGAGAGATACACCGAGACCACCGATATGATCAACTTAAGTCGACAAACTGTTGAAGTGTTGGGAATTGGACGTATTTAGATTTCTACCGCTGGGTCGCTCCGGAAACAATTACATCCCAGTGATGATTGACCACTTCACGCGATGGGTAGTAACCATGCCGGTCAGAGATCAAACAGGCGAAACCGCGTCACAGGTATTGGAATTCAACGTACCAACAACGTACGAAATACCAAAATACGTTATTACTTACCAAGCACCTTGCTTTGAATCAAAGGCGTTCCAAGCGGTGGTGAACAAGTGGGATATTCAGATAGTACGTACATCACCGTACCACCCACAAACAGACCGAATGACAAACCTGTTTACCCATGCCATAAAAGAGGGGATAACACGAACGAATTTGACGGGAAGCAACATTTGCCGGAAGAACTATTTAAGTATCGAAACAGTATGCAGTCGACCACCCAGGTTTACTTATCTGATTAGTGGTGAACCGACACTGTACTCTACACGCAGAACGAATGATCGCGACTGGGAACATCAGACAGAGCATCCCCATATATTTGAAGCAACCGCCAGAAGGGTAACCAAATGTTAAGTTATAGCATATTCGGAACTACGATGCCATGTATGAAGCTCAAAAGTGGCTACCATTTATTATGGGGAAACAGGTAAAAGTAGGCGACAACTATCGACCAGAACATAGGGTTCCCGGTGCGAGCAAGTTCAAGTAACGTTGCAAATGACTGTACACTGTAATTGA